AAATTTTCTTCGCATTAATTTCAACAAGTGTGAACTGTATATTCACCGCAATTACATTACATATATTTTTGTCACCGATATTTATTTATTTTCAATCTTTCGTGTGAATTAGGTATATGTTTTAGTTGTGTTGGTGACTTCTTACAATATTTCTACTTATATATAGATAAAAATACCAAATAAGTATAAAATTTCTTTTCGTACACTTGGAGGCATACGTCATCTGCAAATATTTTGGTAGTTTCTACCTAAACTTAGTTAAATCAACGTCGAATTAACGATATACTGACGTCATATTTCCCTAGAGAGGTATTACTAACCAAACGTACTGGGCTACTACAATGTGGATTTAGATGTAATTCTACCTATTTTGGTAAATAAAACCAAATTTCGACGTCGTCTTATTCTCCACTTATGTCGAATCCACGTCGAACCAACGTAAATTTTACTTAATTATGGTTAAATCTAATTTTGCGACCAAATTTATTATATATAATTTAGGTAGTATCGACGTCAAATTACACCAAAATGTTTGCTGGGTAAAATCAATAATAAGTTATTTTTCCATATGGTTCCAACTTAAGTATACATATTTATTAATATTTATTATTATTAATTTATTATTATTTATTATTATTTATTATTATTTTTTATTATTATTTTTTATTATTATTTTTTATTATTATTTATTAATTATTATTTATTATTATTTGAATTTAAAATTTTAAGTTCATGAATGGTTTATATTGTATATAAGCGAAATGATTGTTGTTTTTTGGTGTGGAATTTGAGGACAATAATTATATTTTGTAATATTACAACAGCGAGTTGGAGCACATATTGCATTAGTAACACATGCCACATATTCGGATTAAAATTATGTTTCCATTTCTCATGATATAAAAATGTCAAAAATTTTTAACCTCAAATCGATTGTTGACATTGAAATTGCTTTTAAAAAGTGTGATAAAATAAACATTTTGTTTAATTTTGCGTTACATTAAAAATATCTGGTTATATTTTTAAGTACTTGATCCCTATAAGAAGTAAAAAACAAAACAGTCAATCTGATAAAATGTTTATAAAAGTTCCTCAAAATCTAGATTGCAGCCGCTATAGGCCCTTTTATATTGCATTTTTTACATACAAATTTCCTGTACTTACAATTTTTAGTAATGTTTCTTTTTATTACAAAAATTACACCTTACTTCTTTAGTTCCTGAATTTTGTACCTCCTTCTTCTCCTCTTGCTTAAAATACACATTTCTTTTTTCTACTTCATGAACATCGATAGTCCTGCTGGTTGCTAGCAAAGTAGCTTTCTTGCTTTGGACAATTTCTAATAAGTCCCTCAATGTTTTGACAATACTCTCTACAGAGAGTCTATCTAATATAGGGCCTTGTTTCATCCCAGTAACAAATTTGTCTTTTATTTATTTATCATACGGTTTAAACCAATTACAAAATACATAAGTTTATAGTATAAAAAATATACATAAATATAAAAATACTATGTAGACCTAACACATTTTTTTACTTCGCCACTCTTTTTACTTGATACAGGGAATAGTTAAAAATATCAATGCTGCAAATGTATTAGCATTTCTCAGAAGTCTGGCCATACCAATTCCTGAGCCATAGTTAGTTCTATGAGCTTTCAAAGCAAATGTGGAGCTACCACGCAACGGCCTATCTAAAATCTACACTTTACAAGATTTCAGGAGAATCAACAAGGTTATTTACAAGTTTAAAGATAAATAGAAAATCAATAAATTTTCTTCGGGAAGCTAACGTTTCATTATTTGTTGTGGCAAGCATATTTGTATAAGAGTACAGTAGACAATTTAAAAGAACAATACATTAAAAATCAACGCTGAACTCTTTCAAGCTTTTTAATATGAATTTGCGCATATGGTGACTAAATAACAGAACAATATTCCAAATGTGACCTTATGAGCGAATAAAACAAGATTTTAATTGTATGCAAATTTACAAAGTCTGCCGAGTGCCTTCTCACGAATCCTAACTGTTTTAAGGCTTTCCCAGCAACATAATCGACATGCTGAGAAAAAGACAGATTAGATTGAAATATAACCCCAAGATCTTTTATACTGTCAACTTTATTAATACGATTTCCATGCAACTCATAAGTATGATTAATTAGGTTTATATTAAGCCACTTATAAAAAGACACTACCTAACATTTTAAGGGATTAATTAATAATCCATGCAAAAAGCAGTATTCGTTCAAACTGTCTAAATTTTTCTGCAGTATGAGACAATCAGAGGGATCTTTAACGATATTATACAATTTGATATCATCAGCATACATTAAGACTTCAGTATCATTTAATTGTTTCACCACATCATTAATGTAAATGCTAAATAATAATGGACCCAAATGTGATCCCTGAGGGACCCCTGATATCGCTGCATATTCACTAGAAATGGCATTTTTAATTTTGACACAACAAACACGATCTGTAAAATAAGAAATTAGCCAGTTCAAAGCCTGTCCATAAATTCCTAGAGCATACAATTTACCCTTTAAAATATTGTGGTCAACTCGATCAAAAGCTTTCGTAAAATCTGTATAAATTGCATCTACTTGAAGACTATCTTCTACAGCAGTAGCAACATACTCGGTGAAGAGCATCAAATTGGTCGAAGTTGATCTGCCAACGTGAAAGCCATGTTGTTTGCTACAAATTACATTTGAAAGCTTTTCACTTAGTTGGTCATTAACAATACTCTCGAAAACTTTAGGAATTGACGATAAACTGATAATCGATATGTAATTAGTAATAAGCGAAAGATCTCCAGACTTCAACAAAGGTTTAACAAATGATGTTTTCTACTTTATGGGAAAAACGCCTTCAGTTAGCGATTAATTGAACAGAAGCCACATATAGGTCTTGCCATAGCAAAGGCACACTGCTTCAAAAACTGATCTGGTCTGAGGCTCTTCCCAGTATCAAGTGAATTTAAACACCCTAACACATCGGTTATATTTATAGTAAAATTATTAACATTAATAAAATCATTATCAGCACATTTAAAATTGTCAGTGTCAGTTACACAACTATCTAGTTTCGTACCATATTCATAGTCAGAAGCTAACTTGTTTACCTTAACAAACCACTCGTTTACTTTTTCGTTTGTTTGTTTCAGGTTCTTAAATTGAATTCTTTTGAAATATAGATACTTTCGGCTTGAATTGACTACTTAACATTTCCAATAGCTAGTTGAACGTTTTTTTACTCGGTTTTTGAGGGTAACACATATTTTTCAATGCTTTGTAAACGTTTTCGCTAACTGTTGTTAACAAAACCGACACTTCTCTAGCCTCTTCCACTTTGTTAGCCACTAATTATTGCTCCAGTCTTTCACTAAAGATTTCAAAGTCGTCTCCCATGTGGAACATTATATATAAAAATTGACTAAACAGTGCTAATTCAAAAGTGAATACGTTTTATTTTATAGGTTATGTTCCTACCTTTAAACTTTTTCTCAATATCAGAACGTATTTTCCGATTACTGCTTTCTTATTATACTATTATTATTATTATACTATATTATCAATTTTATTAACTGGAAAAATACAACTCTAGTTCTTACCTCAAGCGTGGCACATGCAAAGAGGCAGATTACAAGCAAGCATTGACATTATGACAGTTGTTAAATGGGTTCCTATATTTCGGTGCGTTCCGATGTTACATCTAAATACACTACATACAGAATACAAAATTCTGTTATTTTTATAACCCAGGGTTAATTTTAACCAATTTTTTACAGAATACTCCTTTATTAGTTATAAACTTTACCAACAAATGGCCATCGATCTAGGTCCTTCAGCCACTACAAGTTGTATAGTATGTATGAAGATTTACAAGCTATATGTGGGAAATGAATAGGAATATTAAAATAAACTTTAAAAAATTAATTCATGTGTCACTAATTAACTTATTGTTCATGGGCAATTTCATTCAAGATTTCTGTTATTGATCTCTATAGGTATTTTAACCTTACTTGTCCAATTTGACGTTGAAACGAAAAAATGTCTCATTAGCATTTGTTTCTTTGAAAATGTTAATAGCACAAAATGTCTCGATTAAACTAAGAACGGGACCAAGCGTTTTTTACATTGGATTTAAATAACGGAGTCCTAGATAATCATGATTAACTAAATTTAACCAATGGCATAATCATGATCAAATAATGGACGTGGCGCTAGAAAATTTAACAGCTCTGAAAACTATGATTATAATTTAATGTCTTATGGTCGATCTTTTCACCTCTGAATAAAGTTACATGTAGGTTTTTTGACAGATTAAACATTAGCCCCATAGTTTAATCAGCTAGTAGTTACGTTCAACTTTATTCAGAGGTGAAAAGACTGGCCCTTAACCCTATATTTTAACTTGTCAGTTTGACTAATTTCGCAAATTAGTTAAAATTCATTTAGAACACTAATGAAATGTTTAATGATATTATGAATTTATAATGTACAAGAGAGAAAAGTTTATTTTAGGATTTGGATATTATGAATTATTATAATACATTTTTTAAAGATTTAGTTCAAAAAAGAAAATCTAAATAAGAAATGTAATGCGTTTTAAAAACATTGATATCTAAATCACTAACGTTAACCCAAAAATTCTGAACATCAATAGGGTTTTTAACTAGAAGAAATCAAACAAAAACAAAACCGCAAGTCGGTCGAAGTTTTTATTTTAGAGTTATCGTGTCGGTGCACTTACATACGCATGCACAGACGAACTTTTTTGCGTTTTCGGGCTTGAAGTGGTCGGAAACGTAAAGAAGTTTTAAAAAGTATGAGTAAGAACATTTGTAGTCGGCACGAATGCAAGTACTAAGGCCTCATAGTTAGGGAGCCACAGTAAAATTTTAATAAATACTTGTAATCCTTATTAATTGTTGAGCACTGTAGTAATAGCATTAACTTATTAAAATTCTACATTTTTAAAACTTTAACTTACCCAATTTTAGTAATCAGCTTCCCATGTACATGTAAATAACTAACAACAAAACGTTTGTTCACCTAGAAATAAATCTTATTTCAATAAGTCCCAATGCAAAACAAAATTTATTACCTCGACGCTACTTAACGTCGAAAGATCCTCTTCATCCGAATTGTTTTGTTCTAAATTTGCTTGAGTTGTTCTGTAAACCCTTCTTCCCCCATCTGGATGTATCCAGGTTTCTCTTCTTAGCTGCCCCGGTAGATGGTTGGAGTCTTCGGATTCCTTTTGTTTCATTTGTTGCCTCTGACGTTCTAACCTTTCTTCTCTGCGTTTTTTTTCACCTTGATCATACTACAAAATAAATAAAAGTAAATATTTTGGCGCCTGTATTATTTATACTTAAAGCTAAAATCGAAAGAAAATTTATTTATTTTTACTGTTGCTAACACAAATCAAAATCTAGAATTTATCATTGTGATTGATTTTTATATACATGTTAAAAAGACGGTAACTCAATCGCTCTGGCTTTAATTAGAGCATTAGGAATTTAAATTTATTATTGTATTTTAATTCAAGATTATTTTGGGTGATTTCTAAAAGCACATATTTTTTAAAATATGGGATAACTTTAAGTTGTTGCGAAACACCCAATACGAAAAAAAAAATATTTTTTTAGTCAATCAACAGTTTATAAAATTATTTAGTGCAATATTCTTAACTCATCATATTCGAATTTGTACGTAAAACGATCACCTCGGAGCCATTTTTGAGATTTGAAAATATAAATCAGTTCATGTTTGTGACTTGTGAGGTGATACGTTATTTTAATGAAATACCACTTTCTTCTAAAGTAAGTTATACCTTAATTTCATGATTTTATGGCTGCAGTAGTTCGCATAATACTTGCAGTGATAGTTTTACCCTTAGATTAAAGAGACCAGAGATGTAACATACACCGCGCGAATGTTGACAATATCTAAATAAAGTAAAATAAAATTAAAAATTTAAAAAAATAAAACTCAAAGCCAGTATCATATAATAATTAAGCGACCATTCCCTTCAGAAAACAACTACTCCTTTGGCTAATACCGCAATAGGTATTGAATTATATCCAAAGGAAAGACAGCAGAGACAGAAATAAATTTCAACACTCTACATTTGATTTTGCTCACTAAGAAGAACGTCATTCTTCGACCGGTTTCGTCCTTATTAGGATTCTTCAGCAAGAAATAGATAGGTTCTCAATTCCAGTCTAATGGAATTAACAAATGCTACACATTTCATTATTATACAATGTTAGTTACGAAGATAAAAGATTTCAAGTAGCGAAATGGTGTCGCCATATGTTCCTAGTAAGCAAAAACAAAAGCCTTCTAAAGAAAGGTTAAAGGAGTGGGGGAACTGGAAGGAGATCCGAACCCGACCAGGCTTTGTTTATTACCATCATAAAAAACTATTAGATTAACTTAAAAGATGTTTAATAGAAAGTTGTATTTTGAAATAAAATTAAGGTCAACTCGGGAAAGTGCATACCCGCAATAACAATAGTATATTGTGCAACAAGTGCAGAAAGTAACCAATTCCACACGAGTGTGGAATTGGTTTTCTGCACGAGTGGCACACTATACTTTTCTACGACCACAATGACTTAAAACACAAATTAATATATGTTTTAATAATTGGATGATCTTTATTAACGATTTAAAATAAGAAATATAAAGAGGTGGTAAATATTTATTATTGTTATCACTTTTTAAATGTGTACTTAACATAGTTTCTTTTTCATATTTTTCGTGGACATCGTCCCGGTTTCTCCTGTTTGTGTCCCAAATAAAATAAAACAAATTATTACCACTATTAATTTTGTTTAATAATTCACTAAACTATATAAACGTATTTGAATTTTCTTAAATTTCAATTAGAAATTTATTTATTATAAAAATTAATATTAACAACATTACAGTTTGAAATATTAAGAGGTGGTAAATCATGACCCTGGATGGTTTTTTCATATGTTGTTTCTGAAATAGATATTCTGCTAGTAGAAGCTTCAGGTTCTTCACTGCTATTTTCTACAGAATGTAGAATTGAATTTGCGATATCCATTTTATGTGATAAACTGTCATCGATATATCCTTCCGCGGTTGTAGTTGACTTCCATCCGCCGTGTCTTTTAAGCTTTGTTATATCTGCTCCAGAATTAACTAGAATTGTTGCGGACGAACGGCGAAAACAGTGGCTTGTATAATTTTTGTGATCTGGTAACTTCAAATATTCAGCAATTTGTTGTGCCATATTTCCAAATTTATTGATTCCTACTGGTTGCACTGTGCGCTTGCCCTTTTTATAATTCGTAAAAAAATAATCGTGAGGTATATTTGAAGGACGAAGAGTGTTATATTTTTTAAATATTGCATAAAAATCTCCAGTAACCATAAACTTTCTAGGAACTTTAGTTTTTGTCTTTGTTATATTGACTAAAACAGCAGAGCCCATGTCTTGTATGTCACACATTTATAAATTTTTTAATTCTTCTCTTCTCCATCTCCCATTATTCCCAAAATCAGAGCTGTCTATAAAATAAAATTTAACATGAAAAAATATTAATCTCTCATATTATTAAGTATTTACCATTATAAGTAGATAAACATCATCGGAAGCTTCATTTAAAAATTGGTTGATTTGTTCAGGTGTAAGTATTTTTGATAGCGTGAAATATCTACAAAGGTTATACGACAATTTATTCGATGCACAGTGTGGAATTACCGTGTGGAATAATATTTCCACACTAATTATGAATGTGTACGGAATTGCCTACTTTGACCCTTAAAAAACAATTCGGAATTTATAATTTTCTGTAGTGGTCGTCGAAAAAGTTCATTTTAATATCAAGATAAAAATGTGAGATTATCGCATTAAGTAGTTTTTTAGGCATAATAATATTAGCAAAAACATTAAGCAACGATAAACCTAAAGTTATTTTTTTACATTAGTTTTTCACATTAGTTAAAAGAAAATCTCTCTATTTAGGTGTTATTAACGGTTAATTATAAAAAATTCTGAATCGATCAGTTTTTATAGAACTTAAATATCTGCAAAATTGAGGAAAAAACTGACCTTTTTTTTTGTATAAAATCGTTAAGATTTTATTAGAAAAATCGTACAAAAAATAAAACAAGAAGTTCTAAATAACACTAAGGGCCAGTTTTTCAATGAAAGTTTAAACTGAGTTCAACAAATGAACTGAGTTTAATTGAAAGATGATGTATTTCAAATTTAGTTCACGTCTGAACTTATTTTAAACTATCCGAAAAATTTAACTGTCAAAGTTGGGCGTTTAAACTAAGATCAATATTTTGACACTGACTTAATATAAGTATATTTCAGAATTTTTGTACATTTTATGTTCGAAGTAATAAGTAAAGACGATGGTGAAATTATTTAATGCATATTAATATACCATGTACCAACCCAAGAGAATATGCAAGTTTTCGTTTGTCTAAGAAAACGGGTAACAGAATAATTAACAAAATAGAAGGAGGACTTATAGATAATAACATTTATAATAAAATATTTTTTAAATAATAACAATAATAATAAAAGCACTTTATTGGTTATGAATGTTACAACCAAATGGCCCTCGACCTAGGTCCTTCAGCCAGTACAATTTGAATAGTATGTATGAGGACTTACAAGCTATATGTGTAAGATGAATACGAATATTAAGATACTTAAAAAAAACCATATGTGTCACTAATTATTGTTCATCGGCAAATTCGTTTAAGATTTCTGTTATTGATCTCACTGGGTATTTAAACTTTGCTTGACTAATTTGTCGTTGCATCGAAAAAATGTTTATGAGCATGTGATTATTTCGTTTCTTCGAGAAATGTTTTGATAGTTTTCTAATTCAGGCTGATTCTTAGTTTTTTCGTAAAGATATTCATTCGCTGGATGGTGAGTGGGGTTTTCAGGATGTCGCATTTTGGTAATAATTCTTAGTCTAGAAGTTTCGGCCACCTGAATGTTTTTTAATGCAAGTTTTCGACAGTTTAAATATATAGTGTGACCGTATTCCAGGAGAGGTCTGCAAATTGTTTTGTAGATTTTAGTGGCCGTGTAGATAATGATACCTTCTCTTTTGTATGTTAAACAGCGGAAATGTTTGGCTCTGGTTTTGATTTTTTTTGTCTGCGGGTGTGTTCATTGAAGTTCCGCTTATTATCAATAATAAGGCCTAGGTATTTCACTGAGGATGGTTGGTTAGATATGAGTGTAGGTGATGTCGGTCTTAGATCATGATAGGCTATCATTAATTGACATTTTTATAGGTTAACTTGTAATCTCCATTTATTGAGCCATTGAACAACTTCGTTATATTGATTTTGTAGTGCTGTAATGGTTTGATTCAGCGTATTTCCATGCGATATCAAGGCCGTGTCATCTGCGTATTGGAGTGTGTAATTTATTGCATTGAGGTGTAACTGACCTGAAGGAAAATCAAAGCAATATATGTTGTAAAGGAGCGGAGATAGTGGCGATTAATATATATTGTTACGCCAGCGCCCATGAACCCGGCTTAATGGGATCTGACAGAGAAGTTGGGATCAGTCAAGTTGATGTTTGTGAATGTTAAAAAGTGTGAATTATATAGATTTTGAAAAAGTTGTTTTATATAACCCTGAGTCGTTTCAATATTGATTTGTTTTATTCTTATTAGGTATATTTTCTCATGTTTAAATTAAATGCTTTTTATATTCCTTCGGTTCTACCATTGTATAGGTTTTCAATAGGTATAGATATTTTATAGAATTCCAAATCCTTGCTGTAAACCTAAATATTTTAGAAGCAATAAAATATTTTTTGCATTATTATTATATTTTTTGACATGACAATAATATCATATTTTTTCAGTTCAATAAAAACATACCTATCTTTTAAATATTATTTTGTATTTTTTCATCTATTTGCAGTAACTATTTTCACATGTAAAATAACCCAACGCAATCCGTTTACGTACGCTACTGCTGAAGATTCTAATATGAGCGAGAAAGCTTCGTTTAAAAAAAGATACAATGATTTTATTAGAGCGACATCAACATTGTATAGATTTATGCAGTGGTAGCCTATCTGTCAATATATTATCTAAGGAGCTACGCCACTTCTGAAAATATCGTTCCATCCATACAATTTGTATAAATGGAACGATATTTTCAGAAGTGGCGTAGCTCAGTCTACACTTTGGATGCAAATGAAAAGGCCTATTAAAACCAAGTTATTCAGTATTTTAAAAACTGTAGACAACCTGAATATTTTAATTGAAAATCTAATATTAATACCCATTTCCCTTA